GCCCTTGCCTCCAGCCCACAGGGTGAAATAGCCAAGAAATTAAACGACCAAACGGTTGCCGAGGAAACATACTTTCATTTAATCATATGATTAAACCTAGTAGCTGAGTTTAAATAATGCATAAAACCATTATTTGTTTAGCCACTGTTTACTGAGTAAACCACAATTGACTGTTTTTGATCTAAGCCGAGAACAAACAAACCACATGCTTTTCTTGAACCTGTTGTCCTCTGTGTGCATTGGAATGTCCCAGAATTTTCAGCTGCCGGTTGAGCAGGAATTCTGAAAGGCTGCAGGATTTGGAGAGGAGCAGATGAGGGATGGATCCTTTAAGCTATCGTGTGATTTGGAATTATCTAGCTGACTGTAATTTCACTAGGTACACAGATCCAGGTTATTTATTTTTTTTTCATTTTTGCATGCCCATTTACAAAGGCTTCTGAAAAAATTTGGTTAGCTGTGGTAGATGAAACTGCCTTGAAAATGTTGGTCTGTGGTGGTACTAAAGCAGTCATGCTAAGCTCAGATCCATGTGAATCTATACCACATGTCAGTTAAGTTTGCAAATCCTAAAGCAGAATTCTGGGAGTTGAAGTCCAGACATCTTAAAGTGGCTGAGGTTGAGAAACACTGCCCTAAAGCAATATCTGGTTCTTGCTTCTGGATTACCTTTCAAATCCCATATTCGGATTTCAGACCAAACAGGAAGCTGATCTTGGGGGTGGGTGGGTTGTTTTTTTGTTTGCTTTTTTGTTTGTTTTGGGGATTATTGTTCATTTGGCTTTAGCAATGGGATTAATTGGCGGATAGCGAACTACTATTCCTTTCTTTCTGATAGTTCCACTTGACTTGGCTTATCTTCAAATAGTAGACCCTTAGCTTTGTGTTTTAGGAAAATGCACAATGGAGGCTTTGACCTCTACTAGTCATTCAAATTTATGCTTTATATTTCTTTAAAATGTGACTGGTCACACAATGGCTACTATGTCTAATTACAACTTTCTGTGCAGGTAGTCCCCGGGTTAAGAACACCTAGGTTATAGATGACCCATAGTTCAGAATGGAGCCTATTGTAGCAAAATTTGAGTTAAATGCACAGTGATTTGAATTCGTTACACAATACTACTTATAGAGTCTTATACAATAATATTGTTCCAGTTTACATACAAATTTGACTTAAGGACAGACCTTGGGAACAGAACTCGTTCTTAAACTGAGGATTACCTGTACCTCCTCCAGAGAAGGGTTGCCCATTGTCACAACAAAGGACTTTCTACTGCAGTCAAGTGAAAACTCTCCTCCCCAGAGGAATCAGCCTGCAGAGAGTAGGCATGGAGTGGAAACTCTAGGAAGGACCAATGCTAGAGATTTTACTAGATGATTCACTTTTATTTTCACTCTGGCTCCTTTAATCATTGCTACCAGTGCTATCAGCATTCTTTGGATAGGACTTTACAGAGGGAATGTGATTGTGATAATTTTTCAATGGAATGCATATGCAAAAACATATGCAAATAACCTGCTTGGGAGTTGGGAGAATTGCACAACCACTGCCTATAGGTTTAGTGAAATAAATAATCCAGATGGCTTGCATTTTTTATAGTCAGAGAAACAAATCTTTGAATTATGTATGTTAAAAAAAAGTCAGATCAGATCAGATCAAAAACCTATCTAGTCTACCACTTGAGTTGTACAGATGACCCTGGAAAGGGGAGCTTGAAAACAATAATATCCTCTGGACTTGCTCCTCAGTAATCAGAACTGAGTGGCATAATTACATAGCAATCATCAGGACTTCTGTATTCAGTTCATTTCAGAGTTCATTATTAAAAGCAAATTCCTAGAAGACACAAATAGCACATTTCTCTCTACTTTTAAGGATATGCCCACTCCTTGCCTCCTCTGAGCCACCTTTTCTCTCATATTTCTGTCTGGCTCTCAGGTTTTAATAGAAAGTAAAGCAGATCCCAGAAGTCTGAAGTGTACCCCTTTCAGCTTCAGAGAATATCGTAACTGGAAACACACACACACAATATGTTCTGGAAGTTTAAAGAACGGGAAAGGAAGAAGCTGTCAATTTCTGCTTCATGCAGTGTATACATTTTCTTCTTGTGTTCATTTTGCCCTTTTTCACGTGAGCTTTATATTTTTTTTCAAGTGTAAATACAATTCCGTTTACATTTCTCCTAATATTTCTATAAGACTTTGCCTAATATATCTTTTTTCAAGTATTTTCCTAATAGAATATATTTTTGTCTCTAGGTGCACTTTTTAAACTGGTGAATTGCAGCATGTGTTGGAGTATAATTGTATTTTAGCTCATTTATTCTGCAAATTTGGCAAAATTACATCAAAGAGAACTGAATAAAAAATGTTCCCATGTTCTTATTTAAGGCTGTGTTTTGGTATCCAAAAAACAACCACCCCAGAATAAAAGCAGTACCTTTAGGCTGATGCCCAATCAAAGCACTCCTATTGTTCTCCAGTTGTTTTGGAAAGTAGGATTAATATCATATTGCCAGGTGGAGATATCCAGACAAGTGTAGTTTTACTCAAAACCACAAAAAATGCATTCTCCAATGAGCAATTGAACAGAAGTTGCTGTCTGAAAAAGGAAATGTCAGCTTTCAGAGGCAGAACATTTTAGTTGATGCTGATCTCAGGAATAATGGTACTTTGCACAGTTATAAGGAGCATCCAATGAAGACAACAAGTATTCTGGTCAGGGGGGCTTCCTGTGAACATGCTTCCCCATATGTGGGAGGAGGAACACTTTCTGGGCATCTCCCCCCATCACAGTTGTGACTGAGAGCATTCCTCTAGCCAAGCACAGTGCCCTCCACTCATCCTTGAGCCAGCAGAACACAATGCCGGCCATGAAATTTGTCATCTCCACTGCTGATCCCTCTCCTATCTCATTTTCCACTCACTGCAGTCACCCAATTTCTCTCCTGGGCAATGGATGGCAGAACCTAATGGATTTTACGCACCTGAGCTGCCCTTAAATCGTGTCGGAATAAGAAGGAAAAGGCCACTTTAGCACTGGTGCAGCTAAGGACCACTTAAGCTTACTCGTGAGCTGGGAATTGGATGACATCATGGGGACACAGCAAAGAGTTTGCCAGGCCATATCTATGCAAGTGGGGACTTGCCCTAAAGCAGCCACCCCCCTCATTCCTTTTACTATAATTCCAACAGCAGCAATGTAGAGGAAAAGTAGGGGCTTATGAAAGCTCCCCCTCCTATTGGGGGCACTGAGGGAACTCCTTCAGGTAGCTTCACTGAGGTTACGGCAGCCCTGATCGGTTACTCCTCAGATTCCCTGCATTCCCTTTTGTTGAAGAATGGAAAAGTGTGGCATCCGTTGGCATCCACAGGGGCAGGTGTTGAAATCATGATTCAAGCTCCCCTCTTTTGTACAGGGAATTGAAGTGTCACTTCAGGGGATTTTTTAATGATGTACCTGCCCAATATATTTCCATTTGGGGAAAGCAAAGTTTATTCCTCTTTTCCCTACACATGCCCCGTACGTTTTAGTGAAATATGCAGAATGGGCTCTGCAGAAAGGATTCACTAGAATTAGTATTTCTCGTGGACTGCTTGCTAGTTTGGGTTGAGCATTAAGTTGCTTTTCCACTCTGGAATTTCCAGGAGGAAAACGCAGCTTTCACTTGTTTTTAAAATTCTCGCACATCCTACAGGAGCGTCCTCCTCCTTACTTCCGTAGCAATCAGCGACTGGTGGGAGCCCAGTCTGGAGCACAACGACTGGAGACAAGTGCTGAAAACCCTGGTGTCCAGGTGGGAGAGCCTTTTTTATTAACGGGTGGATCACCTAGGAAAGGAGCTTGGCACCCAGGGGAAAGGCGCGGTTGGGTTGAGCACAGCAGAGGAACTGGGCAGTGGGGCCACTAGGGGATATTCCTCAAAGGAGGCATAATGAAGAGACTGTTTATATGGATGACCCTTTGAAGTTGGTAGGGTGGGTTTTATCATTGTCCTTCCTCCGAGCAGCCTGCTGAATTTTTTTACTTCACCTTTACAACTGTCTTGTGAAGTAGACTGAGCTGAGGGCTTAGCAGGAATTTGGACACATTTGTGAAATTGCAAATGATCTCACTGACACATTTAATGTAATCATCAGATAAGTGTTATTCAGTATGGGTCAGCACCGATGCTGCCTTTAAGTATAAGGTCTCTCACTAGGTAGCAAGAGAAGAATCTGACAGAGTTAATACTGCTTTTAATGTAGGCAAAGATGATAGAAGCTGGCTCCATCAGGACTACTGTGTGATTAATAAAAGACTGGGCCACATTAGCCACCTTACCTTACAGACTGTTCAGCTGGGTAGCAAGTTGCTGGCATGTTCCCTTTTTGATACAGAATGCTGAGAAGCAAAGCACTGGTATGGTTTTCTTCAGAGAGGCATAGGAGGCTTATCCAGCCTTCCCTGTTACCTGTCTGCTGCCAGACCAGACCCACTGGGCTACAGATCCAATACCTGCAATCATCATAGCCACAGGTCATGAGTGCTGAGAATTATGGGAGTCATAGTACAGCATATATGGAGGCACCAGGTTAGGAGAAGTTTAGTTTATGTGTATTTAGGTTTGGCAAGTACACAAGTGAAAGTTGAAAGGACTCTTAAACACTGATTTTTAGATTAGAGGTTTTAGAGGGGGGGTTTATTGCTACAAATATTAATATTTGTATTGCAGTAGTATTATATTGTTTTTAACAGTTGTTGGTTGTACTCCGCTCAGAGTCACGTTTAGCAAGATGGGCGGCTATATAAATTTGCTAAATCAATAAATATTTTAATATGACAGCCATTCTCCACATTCATCTGAATTACTTGGTAGTCTTTTCTCTGCTGAACAATGAGATGCAATTTTTCTAAAAAGCAGTACTGCATCTTTATAGATACAAGCGATCCTCAACTTATAACGGCAATTTGGACTGGAATTTCCATCGCTAAGCAATGCAGTCTTAAAGCGTGACCGCATCGCTTAGTGACAATCCCTGCAATCTCTGCAGTCCCAGTTGCCATTGTTAACTGAATCCCATGGTTGTTAGAAGAGGCAATTTCCTGCCAGCTTCCCACAACCAATTCAGTGGGGAAGTAGGCTGGAAGTTGCAAGTCCCAGGTGGCTCGCAAGCAGGAGAGGAGGCAGGTAAGTGGCTGCTACCAGGTGGGGGAGGGCATGAGGGGGTGTGTGATGGTGAGAGGGAGGTGTGGCGAGGGTCAGGGAGGGTGCATGGGGTGTGCGGGGGTGCACAGGGGTGCACAAGGGTGTGAGGGAGCCGTAGTGAGGCTTGGGGAGGGTGCGCTGGCATGGTGCAAACGCAGAGGGGCTGGGGAGAGTGCACGGGTGGGGGAGACTTGCCCCAGTAACTTGTAACCTTCCCTGCTGGCTTCCACACTGACTTTCTGGGGAATCCAGCAGGGAAGGTTGCAAATGGCGATCATGTGATCACAGGGTGCTGCAACCAGTTGTAAATATGAGCCGGTGCCAAGCTGCCAGATTGCAGTCACATGACTGCAGGGGTGCCGGGACAGCCAGAACTCCAAGGGCCAGTTGTAACCACCGTTTGTTCAGCGCCATCGTAACTTCGAACAGTCGCTGAACAAATGATCATAAGTCAAGGACTGCCTTTAGTTACTTGTCTGAATGCCTCTCCACTCCAACCCTGAAGTCTTTCCTGCACATGTATTCTTTCCCTGCAATCTGAAATACAGATCAGGAACAATTTTATTGTATGTGCATGGGTAGATTGGCTCTAAATCTTCTTCCTTGTTTTTTTTCCCCTAAAACTGACCATTACATGCTATTTGTTTCTTTATTCAAAGTTTTTACATCCTTATTGAAATATGGCAACATATAGCTGGTATATGTAACGAAAATTATTCTGTCTCATAAATTAGCACCAACCTTCTTGCTGCAAATTGTTGGACTGCTCTGAATGCTTGCTTGCTTACTTTTATGGATGATGCTCATTTATAGAATCAGAAAGGAAGAGAACAGTAGAGTAACATTAGCCTTGGCTCTGACCTTGAATTAACTGTTTGATATAAACATTATAAATACAATGTGGATGCTTGTCTAGAGTATGTGTACGCAACACAGGCAAAAACAGTACCTTCTTGTAAACCTAGCAAACTTTAGAAATGGCCTTTGTTCCTTTGCATATCTAGGGAGATGAATTATTCTGTGTTGGAAGCCCCAGTAGCTATCAGCTTCCACCGTGGGAGCAGCCTCACCTACCAAGCTATGAGAGTGTACGAAAAAAGGACCGGCAACGGGAGATCCACCAGATGATTGCTGAAAGATTTGGCTTATGGGCAGAAGTCTCTCAAGAGGTGAGCAATCGGGAAAAATGGCCTTTCGGTATGAAAAATATTTACTCTATATCTAGTTCTATAGAATTATTCCACCGATGAGGTATTTATAGAACTTGCTCTAAGCCCTTTTTATTGAGATAACTTAGAACTCTGCTCCATCTTTTCTAATTTTTTTTTTATCTTAGAGAAAGGAACAGAGTGTTCCAGGAGTCTCCAGTACTGGCCACTTGTTTATATTCTTTCTGGTTAATGATTCATCTTGTATCTTTTGAAAAGTAGCCTTTCTGTCTTCTGCAAGGAGCCACAGCAGACAAGAAGGCAACCATGCCTAAGAGATCTGGCTATTTAAATGTTCACACACACACACACAAATGTTCACACCATAAGTAGGTAGGCTGGTTCATGGTAGATATAGCCCCAGGGGTTTCAATAGAGGCAAATGGTTTTATCAGTGGCTTCTCTCACAACCCTTTTAACCTTGTGCAGGCAACAGGCCATGAAGCTTCTAGCATTTCTGGTTGTTTCTCATCTTGCTAAGGTACTTCTTGGGAACTATCTGGATATCTGAAATAATTGCTGCTCTTCTTGTATTTTGCTTTTGCTTGTTATCAGTCCCCCATCATGTTAAGATTACAGGCCAAAATATATGTAGTTCAAAGTAAGCCACATGGATCCACATTAAACATACAGTGTTTGTGTTGCCAGACAGTTGGACCAAGTCTATCTATCCTGCCTGCAACAAAGATCTAAAGCAAAGCTCTCTCCTACTCTTACTTGTGATTGTTTTACTGCAAGGGCAAGACATGGAACTTGAAAGAAATTTTCTACAGGCAAAACTATCCCTGAGTGTGTGGCTCCTTTCAGCTCACCAAAGTAGGGATAGGAGATTTGTGGCTCTTCAGGGCTTGTTGGGTGATTAACTCCCTTCAACTCCAGCTAACATGGCTAGTGATAGCAGATGATGGAAGTTGTAGTCCAACATCTGGAGAGCTGCATGTTCATCCATATATACAAAAGGGAATGATTTACCAGTTTTCCAAAATCCATTACTCTGTTCATTTATTTTGATATTCCAGATACCCAACCTATCTAGATACCCAGCCTATCCTGAATCAAGAGAAATTGCAACAAATCTGTAATTATATTGGTTTTCCTCAACACGGAATACCACTTGCTTGTATTACAGTTCTTTCCCCATTATTTAAAAGTGAATTCATTTGACCCCAGTGAGACTTCCAAACTTGAGTTTCATATGCAGGATCCAGCTTGGCTTAATTTATGTCATAGGCAGACACTTGAGACTCCTTGAGCCCCCATTCCAAACACCTGTTTGGAGTTCTCACTGGTTTTAATTGAATGTATTTGAAACCCTCCGGTTAAGATAGCAGAGCATATGCAAGAAAGTTTGCCTATGCAAGAAACTGAAAGAGTGGTGTAGTAGCTGAGGTGTTTGTCAGGTTCAAGTCCATTCTTCGCCATGGAAGTTCACTCAGTGATTTTGGACTAGTCACACACTCTCAACCACCCAATCTCACAAGGTGATTGTTGCGTAGAAAACAGAAGGAGAGAGTCCTCTGTATGCCCTCTTCTGCCTCTGAAGGAAAGGTGAGATGCAGATCAAATAAATAATACTATCGAACCTGTTGCAACACTACAGCTCGCAACTAAGGGATCCTGGAAAAGAGAAGGGGGAAGCTGTACCTCAAGTGGGTCTTTGAGGGAAAATAGGGAAAGCTAGAGATGGACTGTCCTCCTGGGGTCTCAGGCTGTCGGTAGGTCACCTCTGACATGCCCTTTACAGGGTGTTCTTTACCCAGTACTCTAAGCCACTCAGGGTCTAGTCTTTACTATGCCTCGTAGTAGTGGTATGAGAAATTAAAATAGAAGCAAAACTAATCTTGCCTCTTCTAACAGCTAGTGGTATGCAAAATGTTTTGAATCTTAAAATATTCCAAATTATTGCTCTGACTATTACGGAAGTGTTCTGGCCTTGAAAACTTTCCAGGATGTGTGGAGCAGCATCTGAATACTTGTAGGAGAGCTGGAACAACCCATTTTGAACTGAAAGCCACTGCTGACAGCTGGAAGACTTGCACACTTTTAATTATACGTTTGAAACATTTTGTACACCATCAGTGCCCATCGAGATCAAAAGAGACTTAGAAGGTGCTTTCCTCTGGTATTTGAGTTAGTCAGAGAGTAGCGATTTGTTTCTAGCCTCAGTGAACTGTGGTTAAATGAAAAGTTCCTCCTATTGCTGGTGCTGTTCATAGGATTTTGCTGATGCCTTCAGTGCTTCAGAATCTACAAAATCTGTTTGACTAGGAATTATAATAGGACCAAAGGAAAACATGCATGACCCATGTGCAACCATGACTCCATCATGTCACTGGCATTTCTTTAAAATTGTAGCCCCATAGAAATGCCTTGAAGCCTCATTTCAAACAGTGTTCAGTCTGTCCTGTACTGTAGTGAAAGAGCTCATAACTGGGGTGAATGATGTTGACAATTCAGGGAAATAACTGCTTAGAGCAGCTTACTGAGATGAAATAGCACCAGCTTCACTACTAGGAATGTAATCTCATATATAATTATTTGGGAGTACGTCCAATTGATCTCAGTGGAATTTACATCACAATCCTTTACTTGGAAGTAAATCTTCTTGAGATCACAATCTGGAACCCCGTGCTGGGACTTCTAATGGCCTTGAGCCTTACAACTTTGATATCAATGAGTAATAAGGGCAGTCAGCACCTTGAGCACCAATTACCACTTATATTGCACACTTAAAGCACTTTCTGCAAACACATAAGCCCTCATAATAGCCCATAATCTAGATAGGCCCACAGTAGATAAGTAAGACTACATGTTGAAACATACATCTTGCTTCAAGTCTTTGTACTCCGATCATTCTTCTGTCCTCAAAATTCAGCACTGCTTCTTCCCTCTCACCCCACCTTTTCTCCATGCCCTATTTTGAGATTTTCTCCAGATGCCACACCTGAAGTGACTTTAGGAAGGGAGAGCTCAATTGTGGAGACACCACTGGAATGCTTAGAATATATATGTTTGCCAAAACCTGCAAGCTGAAGTCAGAAAAGAGAGCCCAGTGGTGTTTTCTGAGCTGCACCTCTCGATAGCTCTAGCCATCTTGATCAGGAGTGAGAAATGGTGGGAACCGGAATTCTGTAACTTTGGGATATAAAAAAGAATGTTTTTTCTTTTTCTTTCCTATAAAAGGTCTTTCCTCTGAATTAAATAGGTTGAACATCTTTATAGCCAAAACTAATCTTGGCCTAACCAAGGCCAGGACAGTTAATACTTACTGCATTGTGTATGCCATTTCTTTGCAAGGGTGTATTAGAGCTGGGCTGCAAAGAAATCCATAAGCAACGTAGCATGCTTATTCAACTCTAAAAACCACAGCCAAGTGTAAGTTCAGCAAGCATAGCTTATTAACTCTGAATGTGGCCTCTCTCTGCCATCTCTTATTAAACTTTTGAGTTATAGATTCTTTCAGTCTTTAGGGCATGTTTTCATCATGCCACAATTATATGGATTAATATGTTAGACATTATCCTGGGCATGACAGATTCCATCTTAGTGCCAAGATACCCAGATAGCAAGAAAAGTGGACTCTTCTGCTTGTTAATTGTTAGGAAGAAGATAGTTAGAAATGATTAGGAAGATTTTAAGCAGGTGTAGTTTTTCTCATCCTTGCACCAAAAAAAATAAATAAAAAAAATTCCTGTCTCTGGGTAGCGCTCTCTCTCTCTCTCTCTCTGTATACACACACACACACACACGTGTGTGTGTGTGTGTGTGTGAGAGAGAGAGAGAGAGAGAGAGAGAAAGAAATAGGCATTCTCTGTGAAATTCCCCCCATTCCAAGGCAAAGAGGATTCCACTCTCCAGGCCTTCCTGAAGCTTGTAAAAGCCTGTAAAAAATTTGGCTGTTCCAAAAGGCTTTTGGGACCTACCTCACTGATGGAGAATTATTGCTGCCAGATATGTATCTGTCAATTATAATACTGTATTTTTATGCATTCATTGTTTTTGCACTAGTTCATTGCTATTGCTGCTGTGTATTATCTTTTAAGAAGAGTTTTTTTAAACAAATAAAAATAAATGTAATTATGTTTGAAATTTCTCATGTAGCCCTGCAGTTCTCTGATTAATCAACTACCTTCTAGAAAAAAAGGGCAAAGGTTTGCAGAGGAATCATCTTTTTTTTTTTGGCCCACTAAAGTCACAGAAAGTATTAGTTAAAATGAAGCTAGCTGGGTTTATCAAACAAGTCTCTTCACTTGTGGAGGGCTCTGGGTTTGAAATCCCAGTGAATCCAAGCTCCTGCTGCTGACATATAATATCTCTGATTTGCTCCCCCCCCCTTTTTTTAAGTCGATATATTTTCTCCCATTGAAAAAAAGGAAGGAGTTTATGCCAACCCAAATCCTGTCTTAGATTAGAAGCTGGTTTGGATGTGTGGGAGAGGGCAAAGAAGTCTTTCATTCTCCTGACCCAAAGCCTCTCCACTATCCACCATTTCTTCCTCTCCTCAGAAGGGTAAGACATGGGGAAGGTTGCCAAGGGAATGAGGAAGGGATGTTCGTGGGGATATTGGCCCCTCTGACAGCACTCTCTTTCACTCTTGGTGTGGGGAGAAGCTTATTTTATCTGAAGCCTCCTAAGATATATTTCCAGGAACCACTGGATAAGCAACCTACTGTAAGTCAGTCAGTTTCATTAGCAGGCTTAAAACCTTTAATCAGTAATCACGGAATCCCTCATCAAATAAGCCCAGATTTAAAAAATCATTTGTATGTATAATGTCTTTATAAGAAGCGCAGATAGCATGCCCCTTCTTATATTTTCATCCACTACCATATATACTGGCACCATTTAAAAATCAAGTATGATTCTAGTTTCAGAACTATTGTTCTTTTCTTCATGCATATTTATTAATTGACTACATTACAGCCCTAAATATGTTTACCTGAATTTCCCTTGTGTTCAGTAGTGCTTACTCCCAAATAAATGGATATAGGATTGCAGCTTAAGTATCTATAATTAAGCATTAGATGACAATCCTAGTTTACACAACAAGAGTTTAAACACAACATTTAGATGCCAACAGAAGGCTGTATACATACTTCTGGTGGATTATATTGTAAATGAGATGCTCATTGCATTGCACTTCTTTGCAGTTTACTTCATTTGCTTCAGCGCAGCATATCACTTTCTCAGCTGCTCTGTAATTTAACTGCAACAACTAGGGAGAAAATGCTATCACAATTCTGTGAAATGTTTGGCATGTTTACAAACACCCACTTCACACATAAGAAAAATGCACATAAGCCGGTGCCTGAAAAATATATAGGACCAACCAGTCCCTCTCCCACATCTTTTCTTCCTGTTGCTGGAAGTGTGACTTTATATTTATACTTATATTTGAAGACATTTTTAACAAAGTAAAAACAATAAAAGAAAATAAAGATGATAAAGAAAAATAGTAAATAGTGGGAAAAAAAAAGAAAAAGAGTAGGAAAGGAAAAGAAAAGAAAAGTTATAAAGAAGTATAAAGAAGCTGGTAGTGCGACTTCAGGCCTTTGTTCTAAGGAGAAGAAGAAATGACCAAAGGAATGGAAATGGAAGCTACATCTGAAGGAAGAAAATAGAAAGTCATTGCACACATTGGTCTGCACTGTTCCTGTACAAAATGCAAGGGCTGAGCTCACCCATTGCATCAAACCATAAACCATGGATTATTAGCCATAATGAGTGGGTCTGCGCAACACATGTCGAAAATAGTTTGGCTTATTTTAAGAGAACTCTGTTAGCCTGTAGTAACCAGAAACCAGAAGAAGTCTGGTAGCATCTTTTCGGACTAACAACTTTTATTCAAAGACATAAGTTTTGTGAACTGCAGCTCGCTTTGTCAGATGCCTAGAGTGACTAAATTGATGCAGGATTTAAACTAGGGTGCAATGGGGAAAATACAGGGTGGTTAGGCAAATACAGATTACATGTGAGAAAAAAATACAAATAACTTATCAATTAATAATTTTTTTTTAACCCATTGTGTTGCTTGAGGCCTTCTGAAATGGCCTGAAACCTTTTGATGTATGTGAGCTCAGCAGCCACTCAGTCAATTGTGCTGGCAAAAACAGCTACTTTGAGATCTGTAATGGAGTGTCCTGAGAAGTTAAAATGCTCTGATACTGCTTTGTCCTTGTACTGAGTCCTGGCATCAAACGTGCGCCCATTATGTGCAGACCCAAGTCAGTGAATCTGTACTTACAAACAGTCATTTTAACAGAATCCATTCGTAAGAGGTTTTCTTCACATTTGTCTCAGGCAGGTAACAGGCTCCACCTTTACAGCTTCGTTCAGCCACGTAGGCAAGGCCTTGAGGTCACCCATCTAACAGGTGGTTGTAGTGCCTGGTGAATAAGTTGCACCTCTGCTGATTCTTTAATGAGGTCTGAAGCTCATTTGGCAGGAAATATATCATGTTCCTGATCTTCTCTTCACAGCTGCCGCCCCCTTATGAACAGGCCCTGAGGTGTCCTGCCGCCCTGTCAAGAACCGGAGCAGGCTCAGAGTTGTCAGCCGGGCAGAGCCTGCCAGATATGCTCCAAGCGTCTCCCACTTACCAGACTCAAAGGAACACTTCGGTGTAGGCTGGGAATCGGTCCTCCAGTCTCCCGTGGCACAGACTGGGCCACACTTTCACTTCTGCAGGGCAGTCGGCCAAACCTTGATGCCAAGAAAGCGGAATGAAACCCTCCAGCACTGTTGCAAATCAAGCCATGCCTTTTTTTCCCACTCCTTACAACAATTACAGCTTTGGGACTGCTGTCTAGAACTAATCCCTAAAGACAAAAAATTACACATCTGAATGGAACAAATTGCCCTGGGGAAGTTCTGATCAGCTTTTCTCTTCCTCTTTTTTACACATCGGAACCTGAAGAAACTTCTACCAAGAACAGCCTAGAGATTCCTTCCAGGCCTCTTCAGGGGTTAGTTATCTCCAGATGACCTTCTTGCTGTAGGAATAAGTCAAGTAGACACCCCATAGGAATTTCAGTTTGATCTCTGGGAGCTGAACATCAGACAAAGCCATTGAAACTTCCCTCCCTCACTGTTGCTTTAAAGAGACCAAGAGAGGCTTCCAGTTCAAAGACCACCTTCAGAGAATGTGCAGCAGCTCTTCCACTTAAAAAAAAAATACCTCTGTTAGAGCTGCCAAACTTTCAAGGTATTTAGCCTGAACATTTTATGGTCTTTTAGCTGTCACAGAACTGCATCCGCAGGACACCGTTTGGGGCTTCAAGTGACACAATGAATGTATTTTGCCCTCTGGCTATTTTCAGCAATCTGCACCAAGGAATGAACACTTTGGACAAATTCTGGTGGGATTTGATTTTTCTCCTTTCAAAGACAGGGTGGGAGCAGTTTTGCAGATCCAGACAAGTTCAGAGATTAAGCAGAAGTCTGGCACTTTTGCGTCATGTTTCCCCCTGCTGAACTCCAAATAGCCTACGTTTTGCAGCCAAGCCATAGCTAAGAGAAAGGGTTACCTGTCAAGATGTAGAAGGGAAGATTTAACTATTTTTATTCATCCCCAGAGTTGTTATTTCTGCTCAATTGTCAGTTGGGGCTCAGACAATCTTAATAAGCTTAAATCTGATTTGCTATTTGGATTTGGGGGCAGGTTTTTTTGTTCATTTGCATTTGACTAATAATCATTTCAAATGTTCCTAATGCCATCGTTGAAAACTAATCTAATTAGGAAATGCTTGGGGATTCCTCTACAGTCTAACATGTAAGTTACCAGAATGAAGTTACTTATTTACCCCTTTCCTGTCTGTGAGATTGAGAAGAACAGATGTGACTTCAGGTATATTTATATTCAGGTTTTATTCTAAGGAAAGCTGATGTAACACTAGATATGGCTAACACATAAAGAGATAGCTGTAGTAACGTATTCTCTATCTCACCCGCATTCTCTATCTCATATGTTTCTGTGCTCCTACGCCCTTTAACAGCTTACTCGTACTACTGTTATTCATGGTTAAAGGCAAGCAGGCTTTCCTTTAACTGAACTGCTAGGTTCATACATTGCATGAAATCATTGTTTTAGCCATGGTTTGTTGAACAGGCCATGACCCAGTTCACATAAGCCAAAACCAAAGAAATCACATTGCAGCTTAGCATGCTGTATGAATACAGCTAACCTGTCTTCAGCTCCAGAGCCTGTTGAATGATTTACTTGAACTATAGTTAGAACTACTGCTACTTATCTGTACATAAAAAGCAGGAAGGGGAATGACTGTGATTAGGGACTGCACATTGCTAACACATGCCTCCAGTTAGCTGGGTTTTACACATTGCATTAAGCTGTAAAAGTGTTTCGACACAGATTACGCACATGAAAGCTGGCACTACTGCATTTCATATTCTTTTCATTTATCTATTCATTTCATATTCATACATAGGTACAGTATACGCCTGTTCAGAGTATTTTCCCAGTAAGGACAAGCCCTACATTTACAGATATTTTTTTTCAATCCAAGAAGCAGGGAGTCAACACCTCAGATGCAGAGTGTTAAGACTGGCCAAGTAGTGAATGTGACTTAGAAAAAGAACAGGCACTGTTGCACTCTTCAGATGTTTAAACTCTAACTCCATAGGCCCCAGGAAATGTGGCTAATGGTCAAGGCCTGAGGTTGTCACGTGTGCACCAGAAGTGTATGTTGTCACCCTAAGGCATAAAGGCATAAAGTTCTCAGAATTCATGGGTAGAAACAGGTTGGAACGTCGACCTTGCTGTGGAATCGCATCACGTCTATAATCTTGATTGCCTATGCTATGCTGTGACCCGCTTCCCAGGTCACCTGCTTCCCTACTTCAGTTGCTCAGAGTGTCAAAAAAATGTATCAAGGGACTTGAATTGCAGTGTTGTATATAATTCTTATTGTATATGATTTTTGGAACAGCTATAAGACCAGACACCACTGTAAAGCAATTTCAAAGTAATGAGCCTTAGAGAAAAATTATCTAGAGACCGAAAAGAAGTTCTACACAGGTACCATAAAAGTCAAATTTACAATCAGTCTAAGCAATCAAGTCATCTAAGCCATGATTTACAAATGATAATGGCTGTCTTTACATAACACATTAAGCGAACACCAAATTAACCATTGGGTACATCTGTCTTCAGAACAGGGTGGATCTTGCAATTATTTTTTGCTTTGTAAATTAAATTTGAAGTTTTTTTCCCCCTTCCCCCTTTTGTTACAATCAGGTTTGAATTATGTAGTGTTAAAAAGGTTTCCCAAATAGTCACATACTATATAACGGGTGACCAAGACTATACTTAGCTCTAAGGGATAATTTCTTGGCTATGGTGTGCTGGCTAAGACATGGAGTTCTGGTTCACATGTAATGCTAAGCCATAATCTATGGTTTTCAAACCACAATGGCTGGATCGATACCATGCACTAAGCCAACACCAAAGAAATTATATTCTGTTTAAAAACACTGTGTAAACTGACCAATGCCTTGACACATTGGATAAAGAATAAACTGGGTAAGGAACTTTCTGCTAGACTGCATCTTTAGCAGTTGCACATCTGTTTGGTACATAGCAGGCAACACTGCAAAAGTTTATTGTGTGCATATGTTGGAATAATGCACAAGTAACACAACTGTGTATAAATTGTGAAGAAATAATTTCATGTGTCTGCAGGTAAACATACTGATGTATGAAATCTGCTGGGAATACCCAAGGACACTCGCCTCTCTTAATTGGAAACCTACTTCCATCACTTCCAACATCTGCTTTCACCCCAAGAACAAAGGACTAGCCTGAAATGGGCCCTCCGAAATGAGCAGCAGTACTATTGTTGCGTTTGGAAAAGAAATATTATCAATCTTTATTTCATCAACAGCACATCAGAAGTGTGTGTTCAGAGTGTATCTCCATCCATTACTGTAGATGCTCCAAATATTGCTTCATTCCCAGTTGCGCAGGTAACAAAAAGTCATTCAGAACTATCTATCCTGGGGATCAGTTTGATCTGAGCTTTCAGCTCTCAGATCATAGTGATCAACTTAAAACTTCCCACTTCTTCGGTAGGAACAACATTGATGAATGTTTTATACAGCACAGCTCCTTTGGGTAACCGGCAGATCACTTCTCGGCTTTCCTTGCCACGGGCAGGTGGCACGTAGACTTCTTTAGTGAACCTCACAATTCCATCTTCAAGGGCGTACAGCCATTTGTTGTAGCCCATCCCCACCTGGGACAGAGAGACAGAATCATAATTAAGAAGGTAAGAAACAGCCTCTGGAGCAGAGTGCAGGCAGTACCTATCACTGAGACTGCCAGCAGATCTCACATTTGGTATAGTTTGCAAATTGTGTGCCAAACTGAAAGTACAACTGCTTGTGCAACAGGAGAAAGATGTCTTGATCACCAGAATTATAATGCAGAGATGGCAAAGTGAGATTTGGCACTTCTGCCAAATTAAACTCAGAATCCCTCATCTGGTGTAGTTGTACTTGTATCCTGGGATACATGGCTCATGGGATACAGCAGGCAATTAGTTTCTCTGCAAGGCAGTTACATTTGCTCCTTGCGTCCCCAGCCCTCGTTGACACCTGCTCCGGATGGTGGGCTTTGGGGTTCTAGTAACAAAACAGTGGATCCATTAGCCTGAATAAACTAAATATCAGCTCATGACCCTAAAAATGTTGGGTGACAGCTGATTTCATTACCCCCAAAAGTAGCTCAAGGTAATTTCAGTCTTGAAGAAGGTATCTTCAGCGAGCCCAATTTTAAACACTGTATGTGATACCATTTTGCCCAGGTACTTCCTGAGATGGATTTGGCCTCTGGGTAAAGAGGCATTTCTCCTTAAAAGGCACTGATTAAAAAAAAAAATACAGCCAGTTGTGCTATGGATCAATGTAAAGAAATGCCTGTTCGTTTTCCTTTTCTACAACTTGATTTTCTCTGGTGATCTGAAGTCATCCAAGGTACCATGATGCCCTTTCCTATGTTCTCATTGCTCCACCTCCGTGTATTGTAACTGAGCATGAGTCTCCAGTGTATCTGTCATATGCTGATACTTCATATTGCAACTATATTGTAAATATAGTTTATAATATAGTTTATATTTATAAACTATATTATAAACTATATATACAATATAGTTGCAAATAGAGGTTGTTCAGAGTCCATGAAACTCTAATAGGGATGGGGGAGAGGCTCCTATTTCTGGTTATTAATACAAGTTAGCAGTTTCATAGCAAGAGAAATCAAAATAGGAATGTTACTCTTGTCTCAGCTGAGAGAAAAGATCTTGAAAAACAATAAAAACAAGACCAAGAGGTTTGACAAACTCTAACTCTGTAATGAAAAATGGTTAATTCCAGGATAACGTAGAGTAAGGCAGGAAACTGAAGCTTTGATAAAGATGGAACAAAGTCTTAATTCAGTGGAATTTGAAATAATGAAGAAAAAATCTTACGTGAGCCCCTGGATGCCATCGAATCACACGCTGGGTGGCCAATATGTTGCCTGCATGAACAAACTGTCCTGCAAGTGAGTTAAAGAAAGTAATTAAACCTTAGACACAAGCCAACCTACATGCATACTAGCTGAATACAAATGGTGCACAACAACTTTCTTTAACGTTTCTCCTCATGAAACAGGATCCATTACAGAGGACAAGAGATCGAAAGTGAAAGGCCTGAGACTCAAATCCTGGGAGTGGACCCCTGATTTTACCTAGTTTGATTGGCCGAAGCTTCCTAGCAGTAAGAAAGTCATTCCACACATAGCCAAAGGTATTTTCTCGACAGATTATCAAAGCAGCCTAAGGGTTTTCTAACTCATACATTAATTCACCGAATACTCTCTCCATTTAGTGCAGACTGCCATCTTGAGATTACCAAGAGGAAAAGAAGGAAAAGGGTTCCATTTCAATAACCCTGAATCCACATTCAAGTAACCCAGCATATTATTATTTAATTTACAGGGATGCATGAGGACATCTTTGCTTTCCTCACAATGGAATTATGGAGAAGAGGAAATTAGGAGAGCTGCTAAAGTGAGTGGGAAATGAGATGTGGGGAAGAGAGATTTGTGATAGCACTAAATCATTTTGTACGAGGGGGAGGGGGGATCTGGGTCTGCAAGTTGCTGCTTACACTGAGCAGGATGACACAAGGAGTCCCCTCTCCCTCATCACAGGGCCAAAATCACATCCTGAGGCATACTAATGATTTGTCCACCTTGGACTAACCATTGTAACTCGGTCTGAGAACTCTTGTTTGTGTTTGGAAGTCAGCAGGGCTTGGCCTGGTTAGTGTTTGGATGGGAGACCACCAGGGAATGTCAGGACTGTAGGCAAAATGTGGAAGTTGACAAACATCCTGGAGGAAGCTATTGACAAGTCACTTCAGTACCATTGTCAAGAAAATGATATGGATGTGTATTGAGTGAATCAGCACTAGAATCTGCATCCACCGAAGTTAAACTACTTTGGCGTAAAAAAGAAACACCTAGTGAATCATCTACCGTTTTCTACAGCTATGTTACTGCAAAAACTATCCATTTCTAATTTTTCAAGATCACGTGTACTTTAAGAATATAAACTGATCTTACAGTTTGAACAAAGGAGGTCCCATACACATTTGCTTGCTTCAAGGAGCCCTTGGGGTGGTCCTGGAATGCGTGTACCTCCTCCCATATTTCATCTACACTCTGACCATGCAGGTTTTGTTAATGTTGGTGTCAAGCCAGGTTCCCTGTTCCCCAACCTAGTTTTTGTTACATCAAAAGAAAGCTGGATTTCCTAAGCGCATAAACTAAAGCTGGGTTGCATAGGGCCAATAGTCCATTTGGTACAGCCTTTAATGGCCCCCAGTGGTCAGCCAGATGCCTCCAACAAAGCTCATAAACTTAGCCAGGAGGGCAAGCACCTTCTTCCAATGGTACCACAAGGCAGCTGGTATGTCAGGAATGCTGTTGAGGATTCTGGAGAGAGCAAACAACCATCAAGACTAGTTACTACTGATAACCCTAATCTAACCCCCTTTTTACAATGGTCTAAATTGCTAACCATGACCATCTGCTTACAGAAAATTCCAGTTTAACTGGAATTAACATACTTTGGGTTAGAAAGGAAGGAGTTCCTCAAGCCAGAACTGACTTCTGGCAGCTCCCCAGACGCCTGTCAAGAAAATTACATGGGCGTTGCCAATGGCTTCTTCTGGGATTTTTTTCTGACTTCTCAGTCCGGTCTACAGCCTTGACATTTCCTGATGGTCTTCCCGCTGGAGGAATAAGCGTATCTGATCCTGCTTAGATTATTTTGAGAGCAGGCAAAGTCAACAAATGCTACACCTGCTCTTAACTCTTGTTAAAAAAAAATACTTCCTTTCATCAGTCCTGAATCTCCCTGAATTTAGTTTTAGTGGGTGACCTCACAAAAGCCTGCATTTTTGTGATCTGTCAATTGTTTTAATAAAGGTGTTACCCTAAGATAAAAACTGGTGCATCATCATCATCATCATCATGACTGTTATCATCATCTTAATTGGGAAAAAGATACAGGGACTATTCACTCCACCTACCCCTGTCTCATAATTTCCAAGATTAGCGTTTTAACCCTTTTTAGCATATTTTCTTAAAGGCTTCATATATGCACAGCTCTACAAAAGCAACCAACACCAAAAAGGCTTGCAACTGTTTTTTTCCCCCACATCGGAGCTGTTGTTTGAGGAATGAAAAGCCTCTATTTTTCCTCCTTTTAGAACCTTTCTGCTGGACACAAATCTCCAAGCTTACCTTTAGAGCAGCATTTCTCAACCTCGGCAACTTTAAGATGGGTGGACTTCAACTCCCAGAATTCCCCAGCCAGTCCACATAGCTTAAAGTTGCTGAGGTTGAGAAACATTGCTTTAGAGAAAAAAAAGTGGGATCTTGCAGCTAAGCTTTGACATTTTTTTCATTTCCTTTCCACCCACACTGCTCCTTTTCTCAATAAACACATGTTCAATATTCTGTGCATGTTAAAAGAAGGAACTCTTACAGTAACATAAAGAGTAACAAATATATCGTAGCATACTGCACTTCATAAGAGGCACTCAGTTATTCCAGGATGGGACCATTCAGTTGTTTTTTGTCCCCTAAGGACTTTTGGCTCAAAAGTTATTTTTGGCTGGGGGGTGCTTTTGCGGGAGTTACTTCTGCAAAATGTGGAGTCTACTGAGTACCCTTATCTTTCCTCTTGTTTCTCAATAGCTCAGCACTGGCTACAATTCTGACACCACTTACCAACCAGGTTTACTCACCTGCAAGCAACAATAGTATAAAAACATCATCAAGCAACTTTTACAGAGTTCTATAAGCCTGACAGACAACCTAGTACATTTCACTTAATTTATTTAGACTCTCCCTGTGGTATTTCCCCCAAGTTATATTCCAAGGAAAAATGTACAGACAAGCACTAGTTTTAATTAGTGGACCTACATTCTCTAATAAATAGGCAAAATTCTATAGTAAACTACTACAGTCCTACCACCTACTGGATGTCTCATTGTTGACAGGAATATCCAGATCCCCAAATAATGATAATGATGATAATACTTTAATTTTATATGCTGCCCAACTCCCAGCCACTCTGGGTAGTTTACAAATTGTCAAAAACAGTCAGAAACATAAACAAAAAATAAAAAGAATAAAGATGGCAGAAGTGACAAAACTGGATGGAACAAAGGGAAGGGCAAGGGCAGGGAAAGGGAAAGGGGCTTCAATCACCAGAGCCAGGTCTTCAGGGGCCTTCAAATGGAATAGTCCACGTTTGATAGCAAAGAGCAAAAAAATTAATCTGGGTTTATTTTCAATTGTTTTTGTTGATGGACTGTTAATAATAATAATAACAATAATAATCCCCAGTGAGGCACTATCTTGAAGTGGTTGTGGAGCTTGTGTGCTCCAAGGAGGATGACAGCTATGCCAGAGGTTCAACCATACTGGACAAGTCTCATCAGAGGAGCCAGACAAAGTGTCTCCCCCAAAAACAATATAGTGAGACGTAATTTACAGAAACCTATACTGGATCGGTCATCGCCCAGGGCAACAAGGACCGTGCTAGGTGTTCTAGTTCCTGGACATCTGGTGACAAGTGGGCTACAGGACTCAGGACTGTTGGCTGAGCAACCAGAGCCAGCAGCTTCAGGACTATTTGAAGAAAAGTTGTTTACCCGTTGCAAATATACAAAGACTGAAAACAAAGAAATAATGATTGCTATTACAAGTCAAGTCCAATGAGAAGAGGATATCTGAAAAGAATGCACCAGTTCTGAAAAGAACAGCATCCAGAATCAGAAATTACAGAACAGAGGATAGCAGATCAACCTTGATTTATAATATGAAATAAAGTATTCACAGAAGTAAAATTGGAAGAACTGCTACGGTCAACCCAGGGCAAAGAAATTGAAGCCTTGCCAGAAGTAGCTCAGGCTGCAGAGGCAAATCGGGGGACTCAGCAGAAGAGGAAGCCAGTATAGCTACTGAATCATTTTCACTCCCAAACCGGGCACCCTCTCCTCTGCCTTCTCCTCAGAAAGAACAAAGCCCTCTAACTAAAAAACCAAGAATTGAAACAAAGAATAACTGAGCATCTAGAACAGCACAAAAAACAACAGAATAAGGTTACCTGCATTGAAGCTTGGAACAAAGAAACAGCTAGCACAAGTATTAAAGAATGCCAATATTGTAATATCAAATGTAAGCACCAGCTCACTGCAGGAAACAAACCAACTAACGTACAGCACCCCTATAGTTATAATTGAATATCTGGGATGCAAAATCAACAAACAAGGAAAAAAAGCCAAACAGTGCACCACCAAAACGGAAGATCAGGTTGGAAAATAAGATCAGCAT